CACTAAAATGAGTGCCTCACTTTTGTCTTCTAACTTCCTTCTTCTTTCATCTGGGACGTTCTTATAGCACACTGATCCAAAGATCTGAAAATGTTTCACAGTTGGTTTGTGCCCTGACCATGCTTCCTCTGGTGTGCATCCTCCAAGTCCTTTTGTAGGACATCTATTCAAGATATAAGTTGTAGTTGAGACTACTTCTCCCCAAAAATAGTGTGGTAGCTTCTTCCCTTTGATCATGCAACATGTCATATCAAGTAGCATTCAATTGCTTCTCTCTGCTAAACCGTTATGCTTAGGTGTGTAGGGAGCTGTAACTTTGTGCTCTATGCCCTTTGATTCATAAAAAACACCAAATTCGTTTGAATTGAACTCACCTCCTCCATCAGTTCTAAGAACTTTCAGCTGCAACCCAACTTGCCTCTCAACCATTGTGCAAAATTTTACAAAGTTTGAAAACACTTCTTTCTTTTCCTTTAACAGATAGAGTCATATTTTCCTGGTTTGTTCATCAACAAAAATTAGAAAGTATTTATTACCTCCTAAGGATGGTACGTCGAAGGGGCCACAAACATCCGAGTAAACAACGTCCAGTGGTTGCATGGCTCGTTTTGGTGCAGTTTTCTTGAATTCTGTTCAGGTCTGCTTGCTAATAACGCATCCTTCACAGATTCTTGTTGGAGTATTTATCACAAGCAATCCAGCTACTAACTCCTTGTTGCTTAACTCACCTAAACTTTTAAAATTTAGGTGTCCATAACGATAGTGCCATAACCAACTTTCTTCCTCCATGCTAATAGATGACAAGCATTTAACTGCAATAGCATTTAAGTTGATCTTGAAAGTTCTATTTCTCGACTAGAGGAACTTTACTTTGAATAATAAACGTTGTTTATTATCAAACATCTCAATATAATTTTTCTGCATGGACATCGAATAACCCTTCTCCAACAGTTGTCCAAGACTCAGTAAATTGATCTTCATTGTGGGCACATATAACATGTCGTTCATGTATGCAACTTTGCCATCCTTGCGTGTGATCATCATTTTACTAACTCCTTCTGCCATTATTGTGTTATTGTCTGTAAAACGCAGACTGCTTCTCACGCTTGGATCAAGATCAATGAGCTAATTACGTTTTCCAGTCATGTGATTCGAACAGCCCGTGTCCAAATACCAGCTTGATTCATCATCTCCACTGTTTGTGGTTACCATCAACAGAACATAGTCAGATTCTGAATCATATTCGTCTTGCACTAAGTGGGCTTCGTTATCTTTCTTTCCCTTCTTTACGTTATCATTGTGCCAACATTCGTAAGACAAATTGTCATAGTTATTACAACAATAGCACTGGACCTTTCTTTTATCAAATTGGTTCGTACCTTTGCCTCTACCTCTAGACTGTTTTCCATCTCTATACCCACTGTTAGTCTTTGATACTGCACCTGAATCTTCAATTGAGTTCTCGGAAGATGAAGATTCAACATTTCTTCCTCCACTGCGACTACCTCACGATCTTCCTCCTTTACCACGTTTACTTCCACGTCCCCTACCTTTATGAAATTCAACTCTAGTTTAGAGTGCCTGTTCTCCATTCTTATCGTTATTCCTTCGCTCAATCAATCTTTGCTCATGTGCCTCCAAGGAGTTTTGCAGTTCTTCAACAGATAGCTTCTCAATGTCTTTTGATTCCTCTATCGCAACCACAATGTGATCAAATTGAGGCGTCAAAGTTCTAAGGATTTTTTCCACCAATTTGCAATCCTTTATCGATTCTTCACAACCACGCATAGCATTCACGAGAATCTGTACTCTGTTGAAGTATTTTGTGATTGTTTCCATCTCTGTCATTACCAGTAACTCATATTACCTCCGTAACGACTGCAATCTCACTTTCTTGATCTTTCCAGAATTACCGTAAGCATTCTTTAAGATATCCCAAACTTCCTTTGACGTGATTGCCTTTGATATCTTCTGGAAGATAGGTGCAGATACGCATTGATGCAGAAGCATTCGTGCCTTGCAATCAAGCTTCTTATTGTCCTTAAACTCCTTCTTTAACTCCTCTAAAGCATTTTTGAAGGATTCTTGAAACCCTTTCTTCACTATTTCATCAATTTCTTGGAATCCCAAGATTGCTTCCATCTTTACGCACCAATCTTCATATCCTTTGCCATCAAATACTGGTAAATTTCCAAAAATGAATCTCCGGTAGCCATGAGACTTACGTGCAGCAAGCTCCCTTACGTTAATGGTGATCGTGGCTCTTGCCCCACCTCCTTGCTCGACTTCTTTCGAACCTAAGCTCTGGTACCACCGTTGGCTCCAGATGCAGAGAAAGGATAGAATGGAAGTTTAGAGAAACAAGATGTATTTTTTCATATGTTGCATGTGCATGGTACAAAGTATTTATAAGGAAAAGTGCAACAGAAATGTAAAACTGAAATACAAGTGAAAATTGAATATGCTATAACCGTTATATTGGTAGTTAAAGCATTTACAACAAGTTTGAATTTATCTCAACAATCCCTAACAAAATTACTTTGGAGTATAATTAGAACACACAAAAATCTCTCAATTGAAAAATATTTCATTGATGACTCAAAATCGACTGTAAAAGGGGAGTATCTGACATATGATTTGATGCAAATTTGTATTACAATATGTATAATTACATATTTCCAAATAATCTCAAATACTGATAGGAAGATTCAACCTCATGATTAATAATTTTATAATCAATTTTTGCAAGTCCACTTTGTCTAAAAACATAATCTACCAAGAAGTTCAACATAATTTCATCATTATTATGCAAGAAATTTTTTCCTAATTAAAAAAATATTTTTTTATAAATTAATTGAACTAATAACTTGTAAACATATTGTGAATAGATAATAGATATATAATTGATGCAAAGATAATAAAATATATAACCATTTTTCAATTTTTTTTAATTCTTCCTCTTCCATCAACTAGTAAAATAATAATTTTCATTAATTATATATGCATATATATATATATATATATATATATATATATATATATATATATAATAACTTCATTGGGTTGGATATTAATTTTGTATTAATATTAAAAGATTAAATTTTATATAAAATAAACTAATAATAATAAATACATTTTGATTTTTTAAGAACACTAAAATTTATATGAATCTCAAGTTTAAACACGACAATTTTTTTTTAAATAAAAATGTTGAACTAAGTGAATCCATTCTAATTATGTCATGTTAGCAAGCTAAGGTAAGTCAATTTGTGTCAATGATTTAAATTATTTAACCTGATGTGTTATATTTAGTGGGTTGATCATATTGTGAACTTAATTTATTTTATCATATTGTCCACTCTCATCTTGAACTATCCAAATGTATTATTGTTATTTTACTTTCCTGCAAGAGCATGTAAAATATATAAAAGAATGTTTTCAACAAATAAATAACTTTATTTAAATTTCACATAAATTTGTCTCATTAAATAACATATTATTTTAAATGACTTAAATAAATTAAATAATAATGATAACATAAAACAATAATTACACTTTAAAATTGTAGGCATAATGATTGATAAAAATAAAAATTACATTACTAATTCATTTAAATTTATAATCAAATTCGATTTGGAACCAATTAAAAATACAAAGCAATTGTTTTTGTTTTCTATTCATATTTTCATATTTCCATGCTTGGATGCTTATAAGCATTTTTAACATTTTATTAATATATTTTGATTAGAAGCAAATAAAGTTATTAAATTTGTTTAATATATCTCATGCTCATGCATCATTCCCCCACTTTACTTAACATTAATGCATTGAAGAAGAGGGTATAGCTTGCGTCACAATGAAGAGGGTATCAAATATCAATTAATGTGTTACCCAAAATATTCAAGAAAGAGAAGGATCTTTAGGGCTTTTTACTAAAGAAAATTATTTTCGGAGAATAAAATTTTCCCAATGCGTGGAGATTGCTCATGGGTTGAAGTTTTTAGTTTCAGACACATTTTTATAATTTTTCTTTATTAATTTCATTTATTTATTGATTTAATATATATTATAAGTATTTTATTATCAACAAGGTGTCGTGGTGTAGTTGGTTATCACGTCAGTCTAACACACTGAAGGTCTCCGGTTCGAGTCCGGGCGACGCCAATTCTTGTAATTTTAAAGTTTTTTTATTTCTTACAAAAATATTTTTAATTGTTTCTTTTTACTTTTTAATATTTCCCAACTGCCTTTTTTAGTTCTTATATAATTAGTTTTAAAAAATAAGATAATTACATATTTAAAATTTTTTCTTTTTCATTCAATATTAATTTTAACATTTTATTTTTATTAAAGATAACTATTCTTTACTTAGAGTTTATCATTTATTTTCTATATATTAATTTCACACTATAATATTGAATAATTATAAAATAGTTTGTTTATATATCTCAAGCAGATATTTTATCTCTATAAATGAAATAAGAATAAAATATATTAAATATCGAATTAATAATTATAGTATATAAAACAAATATATAATATAAAAATTTAATTATTACTTTTTTTCTATCTGGCCCAAATAAAAAATGATAAAAAAATTTGACTCAAGTATATTTTAAGTATATACAATATTGTACTTTCTTAGTTTTTACTTCACATGCAAGTCCCACTTTACTTTGTTAACAGTGATTGATTGAAGTTGTTGAGTTTCAGAGACAATTTTATCAACTTTTAATAATGAGGACCAAGTTGGGTGCTCCCAATAACAGTTTCAGAAACTACAACATTTATGCATTCTGTTCAAGCACAATGGTGTGATGGAGAGAGATAAATATTAACTTTCCACATAATTTGATTCATCACATTGTGAGGATGACATGATTCAAAAGCACATGGTTAATATTTTTTTGGAGATCATGGTTCACTTCACACACAATTGATCTCAAATGTTACAAGTTACTTGTTCATGAAGCAGGATTAAACAAGAGAAAAAGTGGCTCTCAGAAAGAAGTATAGCTACACTCTTGCAAGGTGTCACTGATGGTGGTATCGGTGTCACCGCTACTGGTGCTTTTCTCATTGCATTGTATGAAAGGAGCACTTGCTGGAACTGACATGGAAAGATTTGTACTTGGAATTGCAGAATGCGCTTTCTGCATGTTGGTTGTAGCTGGAGAGTGAGGCAACCGAGCAATGGTAGCGGAAGAACAAGCAGCAGTAGTGGTAGTAGCTGCTGTTTCATGGTTTGTAAAACGCTTTTTAGCACCTCTATGCATGTGTGTGGCGCAGTACTTCTGACCAGGAAGAACGGCACTCTTGCACTGCCACTTCTTGCCGTCTGTTCTCCTGCACCTACCGGGTGCAGGTTCTATGTTGGTTTTATCATTGAGGTAAGACGGGTTGCTACCAAAAACTAAACATGACAGCAAGAATGTTCTATCAGTGAAAATTTTGTCCGTATATGTTAGTAATAACATTAACACATAAGATATGCACAAGATAGTATTTTTCATGTCTCAGAAATGGGGGATGTAATTTCTGATGTAGTAACAGCAAATACAAGTCAGGGAACTACTGAATTTTAACATGGATAGGGAGGAAGTTACCAATGGTTATTATGAGAAATAAGAACAGCAACTATAGATCATTAGATCACATTTGAATGGTTGACATGAAAGGATAAATACACATAGTTGTAGTTTATCAATTTAATAATAAATGTATATGCAATCATTCTCATGCTGTCTACATTTATGCTGCTGTTGTAGTTTCTGTCAACACACACTACTCACCCTTATCCTTAATATGGAATGATATCTACAAATCTCTTAATGAATCTTTGGCTAACTCTACTCAAGAGCTAATATTTGATTTGCAACTTCTCCCAACAAGTGATTCAAACAGTATAGCAGAATGCCATATGGGCACGCAAAAATAAGTGAATTATGTGGAACACTTAATTATAAGCAAAAGTACCAGTAGTATCTATGAGGGTGTCTTATACTCATGTAAAGTTAGGAGTAAGATTTGGAGAAGTCCATCTAGATTCTAGACTAATTGAGCACACAATTATTAGTACTCTTAGAGACCATATCAATGACATGAGATTCTGAGATTTGAATTAGGCCCCACAGAATAAGCATGACAGAAAATACTTGCTATGATGGTATGTTGTTATTGATGCTCTTTTGTGTTGGTAGGGATTGGTAGGACCATGGGAGAGTAACATTTGAGTTACATGAGGCTTCATGACCAAGCGAAACATGACATGACAGAGTCATGACACTGACCCCACTAGAAGGATCAGGTTTGATTGGTTTTGAGTTTGTTGTTCTGGCAAGGTGGGGGAAGAATGGGGATCTGTCTGTAATCCTATAGTCCTACAAAGTATATTGAAAACTACAGAAATTATTGCAACCAACCACACCAAAATTACCTTGAAGAACACTCGTTGGGGAGAAGCCTATTCCAGTAGAGATGCCATTAGAATCACCAACAATGCTTCCTTTCCCATCACTTCTATTACCTCTGTTGTTACCGATACAGCTCTTGGACTGGTTATCTTTCTGGCATATCTTTAGGCAACTTTTGTTACCCGAGTTCACACTGCTGATTGTTGCAGCCACCTTAGGGTTGACTGCAGTGGCAGGAGTGGAGCCAGGGGACACGGCAGAGGTGGAAGAAAACCCCGTGAGGTAGTCAGCAGCACTCACCAAATTTTTCGACCTATTCATGGAAGAGCAATTGTCAATGCTGAGGCTCCTTGATGGGGTAGTGGAAGGTATGTCACTAGGTTGAATGGCCGTAAGGTTTGGATTTGAAATTTCAAATACTGTTTTTGAGGTTGATTTGGTAGGTGACTTGGTAGAAGGTTTTGTTGCCAAAGGTGAGTTAACTTGAGATGCTTCCACAGGCTTTCTTGAACGATTTCGACCTCTATGCATGTGCCTTTCACAGTACTTTTGATCAGGCACTACACTCTTACTGCATCTCCATTTCTTTCCATCAGTTCTTCTACACCTATGAGGTTCTGGATCCACCACACTCCCGTGATCAAAACCCAGGAAACTGTATTCTGTAACCGAAACAAATGAACAAAAATATATATATATATATATAACCATTATTACCTTACAAGTACATAAGCAACCAGTCCCTTTTAGCTTCAAAATTGGGCTTACCTTTGAACATGTTAAAATCACAAACTAGATCCCTACACTAATTAAATCCACTAGCAAGCATTTCCCCCAAATCTTGGTACCAAACAAAATAAAACTTAACCAACAATTAATTCTAAAAGAAACAGGTAGAATAGTAATTCATTCCAAAACAGAATCAAACATGGCACTGATTCATCCTATAATAAACACAACACCACAGCATAATATTTTCTTAAAAGGTGAAACTTTATCATAAAATATATTATAGAAAGAAGCCATGATCACTTGATCAAGGGTTATTTATTACAAACCTGACATGTTGCTTGGGAATTGCATGAGGTGATGAGGAGGAGGAAGTTTATAAGCCAAGTGATTGAAGATGAAAACTTGGTGGTGAAGCTCACGCCTTTGAGCTTCAGTGATCACATGGTTTGTTTCTGGTGTTGCAGAATGAGAAGCATCAACCCCCAGATGAAGTTTAACTCTGTTGGAAGAGTTTTCTTTCTCTTTTTCTTTCTCTTCCATGAGCATAACAACCCTCTTTCCCTCACCAACACCAAGACCACCTTCCGTCGCGTGTCCAATGTCAATCTTCTTCTGGGGCCCACCTACAAAGACACAAACAGAGAACAAGAAGAAAAAAAAAACAAGAAAGAAGAATAAAAAAGGTGGCAATGAAGAACATGTGATGATGGAGAAAAGAAGAGAGAGTGGAAGAGAAACCAGAAGTGTTGTGTGAAGAGGGAACAATCCTAAGAGGCTTAGCTTCCATTGTCACATTCACATGAGGGCTCTTTTTTCCTTTATCTTCAGAGGGTCTGTCTCTGATGGTGATGATGAAGAAAAAAAAAAAAAAGCTTCTTTTTGTTGCTTTTTCAGTGTGAATGAGAAAATGTTAAAAGGAGATTTGGAAAGGGTAAGCTGGGCACGGAAGTGCTTCTGCAGTTGCCTCCATTTACTTCAATTGTAAGTTGGAAGAAAGAAAGAGAGTGGAGAGAGAAAGATGTGTCAGAAGTTTCTGACAAACACCTTATTACATTGCAAGACTTTGCAGCAATCACGTTCAGACAAACAAAATGAACCTTACGTTATACGTTCAACTTATTAGGCGCGTGAACACTCCCACTAACCATTCCCTTCTCAACAGGTTTTTCTTATTCAATTTAGATACATATTTTATTATTTAATTATTGCTATTTTACATGTTTTCCATCGTTCAATATTTTTTCTTAAGAATTTTACTTTTATAAGTTTTAATTTCCGCCTATTATTCAATGACACTATTTTAGATATCATTAACATAAATAAACAAATTAAGTATTTGGTATAGTACTTACTTTCTTAATTATAGATGTGTTTTATTGATAATAAAATATCATAAACTCATAAATTAGAGTCTCATCGGTCATGTTTTATTTAATATTACCAATATCTAAGACTACATTAAGGAATTTGGTACAAGGTGGTTGATGAAATCTGCAGAAATTTAACTGAAGAATTTGGCATGAAGGCACTAACCTTAGTTACACACAAACATCAACATTAACATTGTGCACCATTGTGCAATTGATTGATTTGGTTTTGTCTGACTTTCTCTATACTCCTGGCAGGGTGAAACCTCACAGAAACTTGATGGTTGAGTGCACAACTATTTATATTTGTCTTTCTATCATTAAATGGGTTTCAGAACTACCACTGATGTATAACACATAAAGGTAGATCCTTCAAATAATTGACACGATTAATAGCTTTTTGATGTAAGGATCTATGAATTTCATCATAATACTCTAAATAAATAGAGAGTCATTTTAAATAATAATTTAGTATCTTATTTTAAAGTTCTGGAATAATTCAAAGAATAATTGAGTTGTTTAATCTAAAAAGGTGGTATGAATAAAAGTCACACACGAAACAAAAAAAATGTTGCATTAAAAACATTTCATGTTTCAATCGACCGACGGTTTCTGTGGGGAGTTTCTCTCCCACCTTCGCAATTTCATTTTTCTATTATTATGTAAGAACAATGGTATGCCATGTCAACAAATTGAGGGTCCTTGTGTCTATAGTCATGCTATACCCTCACAAAATCCTTCACAAGGCACCCTTTTTATTATCATTCAAACATGGCTTCAGACTCTTCCAGACACTTAAACATGAACACCACCCGTTCGATCTTATTCTTCACCCAAAAGCTGCCTCGGTTAACCGTTCCATGCTCAACCATTTGCACAACTACCTTCCCTTTCAAGCACTTGCCATATTCAAGGACAAGTTCAAGTTGCATTCTCTTGAAAACGTTGACGAGGTCGCCCTTGCCTTGTCCCTTAAGGCATGTCAAGGAGAGTTGAAACTTGGGTGTCAACTCCACGGATTCGTGGTGACTAGCGGGTTTGTTTTGTGTGTTACGGTGTCGAATTCGCTCATGAAAATGTACTGCAAGTCTGGGAATTTTCGGAAGGCTTTGCTTGTGTTTGAAAATTTGAGTCATTCTGACATAGTGTCTTGGAATACCGTGCTTTCTGGGTTTGAGGAGAGTTTGGATGCTTTACATTTTGCACGTTCTATGCATTTTCGTGGGATAGCCTTTGATCCGGTGACATATACTACTGCTCTTTCATTTTGTCGGGGTGATCATGGAATTTTATTTGGGTGGCAATTGCACACTCTTGTGGTTAAGTGTGGATATGCTTGTGAAGTTTTTATTGGGAATGCTCTTGTAACAATGTATTCAAGGTGGGGGATGTTAGATGAGGCTTGGAGAGTGTTTGATGAAATGCCCAGAAGAGATTCGATTTCGTGGAACGCAATGATTTCAGGGTATGCTCAAGAAGGGGAGTGTTATGGGTTGGAAGCAGTTTTATTGTTTGTTAACATGGTAAGTCATGGTATGTTAATTGACCATTGTTCACTTACAGGTGCTGTTTCAGCTTGTGGTCATGTGAGAAACTTAGAGCTTGGGAGGCAAATACATGGTTTGACCCATAAAGTGGGATATGGAACTCATGTATCAGTTTGTAATGTTTTGATGTCAACTTATTCAAAATGTGAGGTCCCTAGTGATGCAAAAGCTGTTTTTGAGGACATTTGTAATCCGAATGTAGTGTCTTGGACGACAATGATTTCTATTGACGAAGAAGATGCAATGTCTCTCTTTAATGCATTGAGAATTGATGGTGTGTATCCAAATGATATTACGTATGTAGGATTAATACATGCTATAACAATCAGGAATTTAGTTATAGAAGGTCTGATGATTCATGGATTATGCATAAAAAGCTGCTTTTTGTCAGAACAAACTGTCTCCAATAGCCTCGTTACCATGTATGCTAAATTTGAGTGCATTCAAGAATCAAAGAAGATTTTTGAGGAACTTAACTGTCATGAAACAGTATCGTGGAATGCATTGATTTCTGGGTATGCTCAAAATGGCTTGTACAAAGAAGCTTTCCTTACATTTTTGTCTGCGGTAGAGGAAATAAAGCCCAACCACTACACATTAGGTAGTGTGTTAAATGCTATTGCTGCTGCCGAGGATATATCATTGAAACATGGGCAACGTTGCCATTCTTACTTGCTCAAACTTGGTTTAAACACTGACCCAATTGTTTCAGTGGCCCTGCTTGACATGTATGGCAAGCGTGGAAACATTATTGAGTCTCAAAGAGTGTTCGATGAGACACTTGAACGAACTCAGTTTGCTTGGACAGCAATAATATCCGCCTATGCCCGTCACGGACTCTTTGAGTCTGTTATGAGTTTGTATACAGAAATGGAGAGGGAAGGAATCAGTCCTGATGTCATCACTTTCCTTTCTGTTTTGGCTGCATGCTGTAGAAATGGAATGGTTGATGTAGGCCATAGAGTATTTGAGTCTATGGTGAAGAAACATTCAATTGAGGCCACCTCTGAGCATTATTCTATCATGGTTGACATGTTGGGCCGTGCTGGACGACTAGACAAGGCAGAAGAGTTGATGCACCAGATTCCGGGAGGGCCTGGATTGTCTGTGTTACAAAGTTTTCTTGGATCTTGTAGAATACATGGGAATATGGAGATGGCTGAGAAAGTTGTTGGAAATTTGATAGAAATGGACCCTACGAGTTCAGCTCCATATGTGTTAATGGCAAACATGTATGCTGAGAAAGGGAAGTGGGAGAAAGTTGCTGAAGTGCGAAAAAAGATGAGAGGGAGGGGAGTAAAGAAGGAAGTGGGATTGAGTTGGGTGGATGTTTCTAATGTTGATTCCTTGTATTTGCATAGTTTCTCCTCTGGTGATAAGTCACATCCAGAGTCTGAGAATATTTGTAAAATGGCAGAGTTTCTGGGATTGCAAATGAGTTTTTTGAAAGAGAGCATAGAAAAGGAAGGAGAGTGGTATCATGAGTAACAAATCCTTAAGTAAATGAGGAATTTATATTGATCAGCTATGGACTTCTAACTTCATCTTGTTCATTGATATCTTTTTCTGGTTTAAAATCGTATTCAGATATGTTAAAAATTTATGCCCTGGGACTTCTAAAAAATGTTCTTATATGAAGTTTTTATGAGCTAATATTCAAACAACTACATCTGAAACGTTAAATTTAGTATATTTAGTAAAGTCCAAATATTATGAACTTTAATACCTATCTCATTTGTTAAATAGCTGAGTTTTTTAATAAGAAAATAAGTGAGAAAAAAATTCTCCCATAAATTTAGTTGGTCATGAAACTTTTATATGTAAATATGAGAATTTTCCTACAAATTCTATTATTAATAATATATTATATAATATTATAAATCAGAATAGACACACGTATTTATTTTTATATATGTTTAAAATAAAATTATAAATTAATTTCAACATTTTCTTTTATATAAAGGTTTTCCTCTCTAATTTTAACTTTATTTGCTTTTCAATTTTTTATATAACTTTTTTACCCAATTTTTGGTCACTCACACTTTTCAAACTAAACCATTTTCAATTTCCCTAAATTAAGCTATAAATAAAGATCTTCAACTACTTAAGTGTATTTTCAAAAGCTTCATTCGCAAAACCAAACCCAAAAATTAACACAACTAAACGAAACCCTTCCAGAAGAATCTACCAATTATTCAAAATCGAAGGTTTTCACTCACAACCCGTTCTTTCGTCCGAATCAAACCAATTCAAATATAATGGTTAGTGGCATCTGTCATTCAATCTTTCACTCACACAACTTTTTTTGTGTTTTTATGTGTCAATTCAATTTCTTCGAACTCACTCTGCTATCCTTTCTGTGTTGGTTTTCAGTCGGTGACTCTGCACACAAACCTAGGCGACATCAAGTGCGAAATCTTCTGCGACGAGGTTCCCAAAACCTCTGAGGTTTATTTCTCCCCTTCATTTCAACTACACTTACCCTTTCTTTCTTTTTCTATTTTTGAAATTGTGAATTATTTCGAGAAAAAGACTCGAAGTGATGTTCTGGTTACTCTAATTGTCCAACCGAGTGGTGTTTGTGAACTGAGGACACACCTTATGCGTACTTATGCTTTTAGGGCTATCTTTTCATTCCCTTAATTTATGATTTTTAACTCAATTTTTTGTTAGGTATAATTTCGATTCTAATTTGAGAAGAACGTTAAGTTTCTGTGCATGGACCCTTTTTTAAATTGACATTAGGTGAAATTGATTTTGAAGTGATTTGCATTATGTTTAAAATTGACTTCAAAATTATGCAAATTTGACATCGAGGTCCCCAAATTTACTCTCTTATTCTATTTTTGGCGAAATTATGAATTGTTTTGAAAAGAAAAAGAAATACTCAAATTAATATGATTTTGTTACCATCGTATTTGTCAAAAGTAGTGACAGTACTTAGACGTGTGCTTTCACTTTTAGCGCTATCTTTTCATTTCCTTATTATATGAAATTTAATGCAAATATTTATTGTGCTGAATACTGAGCTGTAATTCAATTTTGATCGGAAATCAACATTAAAAGTACCTAAGAAACTGTTCTATGTTTTATCCGTGTACACCTAATAAACTGTTCTAAGATATATCTGTGACTATGAGCAAAAGCACTCAGCGGTGCAGTTTATTAGTGGAAATGGATTGTAAGTAATCATGCCAAGATTTTAAATTGCTTTTCACGGTTGCATTTTTGTTGTGGCCCTTGATGCTGTAGGAAACTACAGACAAATGTGGCTGATATGACCACAATTGCATTTGGATTCCATTTTTACAAACCTTAATTCATGCGTTCACGCAGTGGTGAATCCGAACTGTCAGGGTGAATATAGGATGTTTGAATTTAAATGTGTATTTAAGTTATATTTATTGAAATAAAATATGAATTGTCCAGTCTTCATCTAATAGTTCTTGTTAGCTGATTGGCTAAATTTGTGGTTTAACTTAGTAATGGTTGAAGGCTATCACCCTTGTGCTTTATCTTAGGGTTACTGTTGGTTATTTCTGTATTGAAGGGGGCTGTAACTAACAGTTCAATTGCATTCTCGTGTGTAAATGTGTTTTAATCCAGAATTTTTTAGCGCTATGTGCAAGTAGTTACTACGATGGGACTATATTTCACCGCAACATTAAGGGCTTTATGATACAAGGTGGAGACCCCACTGGAACTGGCAAAGGGGGAACCAGTATATGGGGCAAGAAATTTAATGATGAGATAAGAGAATCACTGAAGGTGAGTTCAACCACTATGAATCCATGTCTTAATTCTAATTGTTCTGTCTGGTAGCAATTCATTGATGTGTTGGAAGAGATCAGTGCATAACATACGTTTTTTAGTTCATGTTTGATGCAGTTTTAAAATAAAATATGACAGGAGATCATATAAATTGTAGTTTTAGTTCTGCTGAAAAGGGTGAAATGTCTGTTATGCTTGTTTTGATTCTCAATGTCAGTATAATTGTTCTTGTTTTGATTGGAATTTGATATGGATATGGCACATGGTTTCCTTAGGTTGATAATACTTCTGTTAGCAGGCCTTAAAATTAAGACTACAATTGAGATATACTCATCAGGAAGAATCAATTGAAAACATTATTGCATGCAAAATGGCCTTGTATGTTACACCAAGCAATTTCTCATATTTGAGATTTTTATCCTTATAACTGAAAACAAGAATACACTGGTTGATGTTGTATATGTCTTAATTAGCCTATTCTTTCTCTGGTTGATGTTGTATCGAAATATAATCCTCATAGCTGTTATATATTTAAGTATCTTATCAAATGTGGTTAATTTATAATTTTGTGTGTGATGGTAATTATGAGCTGTGGTACGGCGTAGGATAGTGGGGGAAATTTTCATTTTGAATGTGCTTTTACGAAGCAATAATTTTAGGCATTTCCTTCATCTGATGATTGTTGTAGTTAACAAGTTCCCTCTTTATGTTTCAGCATAATGCAAGGGGAATATTGGCAATGGCTAACAGTGGTCCAAATACTAACGGAAGTCAATTCTTCATAACGTATGCAAAGCAGCCACATTTAAATGGGCTTTACACTGTGTTTGGAAGAGTAATTCATGGATTTGAAGTTCTTGATCTCATGGAAAAGGTATTATCTTGTTCTTCTGTCATTTGTAATTGCTTTTTCACCTCAGAAAAAAATTGGGTTGAAGCTCAAGCTCAGCCTTCGCTTTCTTTGTCCTTGCTGGTTTGGCAACTTGGTGCCATATTCATGCGACTTGTCTAGAGAATGTGTGTGTAGTCATAGAAAATAATAAATAATACTCTTTGTCGTGCAGACTCAAACTGGGGCAGGAGATCGGCCACTTGCAGAGATAAGGCTCAATCGTGTAACAATACATGCTAATCCTCTTGCTGGTTGATTTTTGTCTCAACAGTTTTATGTAAAATTTAAGTTTAGGACGAAGGGAATAATACTTAAGGCTGACTTGAGTGCCCGTTCATACTTACCCACTTCTGATTCAAAGAAGAATTATGAATGTAGTAAAAATGTATATTGAATTGCAAGTATAGTATATTATCGATGTAACATTCAATTTGACACCTAAAAGTATGCATTTTTTTTGTCATAGAAAGATTTTGTTTTTACAAATTAGTTCTCCAAATGGTGAAGCTATATTTACCAGTTTGTGGACTTAATGACATAAACTTGTCATTATATGTTTTAAAGAATTAATTTGTATAATGTAATTTTAAGGATAAAAGTAACTTGTCATATAAACCTTCGTTGTCACATGAATGATTTTAATTGCATCTCTAAATCCCTTGTGTCTCTTTCCCTGCTATATAATGAGCTATTCTATAGTCCACATACTGCACCTGCTGGGCCTTTGTTATTGCCATTCCCATGAGTTTGGGTTTTTCCTCCTTGCACCCACATAAATTTTTCATCTTCCTTTCATTCCGGAATAGCATTGATAAAATACATTATTTTATATTCTTTTACAAAATTTTGTTAAGATATACAATAGAAGAGAAATGCCAACACACTGTATAATATACACTCTTCTGAATGCACTTTTATTATTATTAGTTGAAAATTACAAATTCTGACCTAATTTTATTTTTTCATTAATAATTTTCTTTCATTATTTTATAGTGTTCAATAAATTATTTTTGTTGTGTATGTAGATAAAATTTTGTAATAGACTTTCCGAGGTACACAATGGATTTTTAGTTGTGTATTTCCATAGATATTGTTTAATTCTACAATAAAGTGTCGTTAATGGTACTTTTGTGAAAAAATTAAGGAGGTGAATTTAATAGTTACAGGGTGGGAACAACTTCTAGCTCTAACCTTTATAGAACTTGTTTGAATAAATCTTTTCACAGAAACTTCCAAGAAAAAAAAAGAGTAAAAATAATAATTTTTTTTTTTTCCTTTTAAGTATTTATGAAGAAGTTTACTTGAGAAGCCATCTCCTACATGCCAATTCCACATCTATTTTTGTGATGTATGTAACATCATGGTTTGGTGGTGAGTAAGACCATTTTCATTGTCCCCATTAGGTATCTTGTTGAATGGGACAAAGCCGAATCTCTCCCCATCCTTGTTAAGGTATACAAACTTTTCCCACACTTTCCCATTATGCAAGAAAAATTCACAGCATCTGCAACATTCCAAAATTATTTTGGAAAATTCTTAAAGTAACATGTTGTGGATTTCTTGAGTAACTTGTTGAGGTAATCATTGTTAGTGAGAATTTTTTTCCTTCTTGCGTGTGCTGATCTTAATCCTTTATCATTCTTGTCTAACCATAATCTTTCCCTCTTTTGAATTATATTTATTTATATTATCAGTTGTTTCTTGTTGTTATGCTCACAAAAATGGATCTATATCTTTTATTTGTTGTTTATATATTGTTGAGTTATGCTCAAAAGATAGAAGTTTCAAATTCTATCTTATCTTTATGATATCCTCTTATAATATATATATATATATATATATATATATATATATATATATATATATATATATATATATATTATCTTGAATTCTAACTGATTTAAAACTTTTTCTACGTTATACTAAGTGAAATCAAAAGGTACTGAAATGAAGATGTGTTATAAAATAATATATGCAATAAAAGAGTAAAAGCATTAAAATGTATATATACTTGTAGGCTAGTATTGTAAGCGTGTCCATATTTTAAAATTTTATATTGAAATTGATTTCAATTTTTTATATGGATTAAATTTATGTCTTATTAATATGTTTTTTTTAGTGAATTCTCTCTAAAAATTCTTATTAGTTATATTAAAAATGATGATTTATATGATGATTAGTCATTTAAGAATGATTCTCATACAAATGTGTTTTGTTATGATGAATACATTTATTAGTAAAGACCACTAGTAAACTTAAGAGGATATATTAATGTGATGAAACTCACATTTAAGAGGAGATTAGAAAATTCAAGTGAGTAAAAATGATAAAGTTGAACAATATATAAAGAAAAAAGACTATAATATTATATGTAAAGATTTTGAGTTGAAAATGATATTAATTCATTATTTTGGTTGGACTCATGTTTACCAATCTTCACTCGAAATATTTACCATAATTTCATGCTATCATGTCTTCACCATGATCACCAAATTTAATTAATTAAAAAGAGAAAAATGAAATATGATAAAAATATCTTCTTCTTTTTTTACTTTTATTTCTTAAAAATATATTTCTAATTTTTAATTTAAATTCAATTTAATTTTTCTAAATCATCATAAACCACTCTCGTTTTTCTTATATATATATATATATATATATATATATATATATATATATATAATACATTTAAGAAGTTATTAATTTATTTTCTATTTATATTCAAACATTTTCAATAATTAAAAATAACCTTACATCACAATATAAATTATTTATTGTAATTCTAAATATACACTACTACAAAATATGTTTTCAACGTCGCCATTTAACGTCGGTTAAAGTCGAGCCGACGTTAAATACACTTTCAACGTCGGTTGGTTAAAAGCCGAGCGTTGAAAGTTGAATGTTGGACACATTCTACGTCGGTTCTTAGTCAACCGAGCGTAAAAATACTTTCCACGTCGGTTCTAGATGAACCGACGTTAAAAGTCTTTTAATTTAAACATTCAACGTCGGTTCATCTTAAGTTAAAGAATTGTCACTGACAGGATTCGAACTCAGTATTTTAGAGTTGAAAGTCAATACTCCAACCACTAAACTACTGTAATTTTCTGATAATAATTTACAAATTAATTATATTTATATACAAATAAATATATATCCATGTAAATATATATATTTATTTATATATATTTTTTGGAATGTGTTTTTAAAAATTTACTTAAGTTAGAGAATTGTCACTAACAGGATTTGAACCCGAGTATTTTAGAGTTGAAAGTTGATACTCCAACCACTAAACTACTCGTAATTTTCCGATAATAACTTACAAATAAATTATATTTATATACAGATAAATATATATCCGTGTAAATATATATTTATTTATATATATTTTTTGAAAAGTGTTTTTATTTTTTTAGTCAAAAATTCACTTAAGTTAGAGAATTGTCACCGACAAGATTCAAATCCAAGTATTTTAGAGTTGAAAATTGATACTCCAACCACTAAACTACTATAATTTTTTTATAATAATTTACAAATAAATTATATTTATATACAAATAAATATATATCCATGTAAATATATAAATATAGAATATATAAATACAAATATATTATATATTTTGATATATTTATATATATATATATATATATATATTTATATAGTTATATGTTGGATGTGAGGGCGCGTTCGAGGGTGAAAGTGAAATTGACTATCGCTTGAGTGAAAATACGTTAAAAATCACGGAAATTCACTCGCTCAAGCCTCGCTTGAGCGAAGATTAGTATTTTTCATTTGAGCGAAGATTAGTATTTTTCGTTTGAGCGAATGATGCATTTCCTAAATTTATTTTATATCATTATATAAATAAATTATAAATATTATATTCTGTCATTAAATTATAAACCCATATAAAGTGACTCGCTCACAAATTTGGCATCAAATTTTGAAAACCCACTCGACACACACTTTCACCTTCGAGCGTGCCCTCACATCCAACATATAAATATATAATTATATAAATATATCAAAATATATAAATATATTTGTATTTATATATTTATATATATATATATATATTTGTATATAAATATAATTTATTTGTAAGTTACTATAAAAAAATTCGAGTAGTTTAGTGGTTGAAGTATCGGCCTCCAATACTAAGATACTCGGGTTCGAATCACGTCGGTGACAAAAAATTAATTTAGTAATGCTCTACACCTCAAAAAAAATATGATAAATAATAAAAATATAATATAAAAGAGAGGGGGATTTCTAAATAAATAAATAAAAATTTTCGATTTGAAAGTCGGACTTTCCATGTCGGTTAATTAGAACCGACGTTGAAAGTCTTGAACACGTCGCCTGATACAACGTTGATTCTGGAATTGATGTGGAAAGTCTTATTTATAGGACTGATAAGATTACAATATAATTTATATTTTCACTACTAAACATTATTTACCTGTACATACCTGCTAGAAGCATAGTTTAGAAAATGAAATAAATACCTGTGGATGTGCTTCTGAGATCATGTTTCTACAAAGAGGATGAATATTATCCGCTTATTATTTTTATTTTTTTTCCTTTTACACTTGAACTCTAACAAACAATATAAAAAAAATACCACTTACGTGTCAAATAAGTACTTGTGATCCCAATTAATGAATATATTAATTGTCTCCCTGTGCTGCATGAGATTCCAGTGCCAGCATTTGTTTGGTACAAATTCATGCAGAGCTATAATTGCATTTTTCTCATCATGTTCTGAACAAACACAATAGCAAGCTTCCATAGAATTTTTTTATTAAATTATGAGATTTTGTTCTAGTTTTTTTTTTTTTTTTTATCTTTACCCCAATAGTGTTCTACATAGAGTTTTGAATAGTTAAATAAAGAATTAATTTTAGGTACTTTTAAAGACAAAGATAAAATAAAAAACTTATCAAAGAGGAAAAAAAAATCGATTAAAAAATGTTTACATTAATTTTCTCTTATTCTCTCTTACAATATTATATTTATCACCTTTTCTCTCTCTATTCCAATCCAATTGAAAAGAGATTGTATGAGGGCTCCACCAGAAGTTTCAGTGAAAGTTCCATTTCCCAAACAGATAGAGTGTGTAAGAAAATAAAATAAAAAAATAAGATATGATGATGGTGATGGTAATAAACAAAGAAAGTTATAAGTGATGATGATGATGATGAAGATGAGGATACGTGTACCAATTTTGAAAGCAATGAATGGCAGTGGATA